TGATAGCTGAATCTTTATAACGGAAAATTATGTTATCCAAAAACAGGAAATAAGAAGTAAGAAAGAACCGGGTAAATTGATGTGAAGCTTTTTTGAACACCAAATTAAATTGCTTGCAATAAACGCATGCGTCAGTGGTGTATGAAAACGTTTCTATTCCAAATCTTCTATGAGTTGTGACGTTGAAACACCGTTTCTCGTACGATTACCGAAGTTAAACAACCTCAAGCCTGGTCAATTGATGGGTAATAACTTGGGAATACCAGGTGCTCTAAACTTGAATGTGCGGGTGGTATAATGAATAATGCTTCGTAATTGGAAGTCGGCGAGCCGAGTTCTAATTCTAGTGTAGACTTACACACAAATACCTTTGGGAAAGGTATGAATCCACCTCTTCTTCTCCCCAGCTGTGGGTTAATTAGTAAAACTTGTATTAGTAAATCATTATCATCTGCCAAACATTCGTAAAATCTAAATGTATTTTCTGGCTTTGAATAACCTACAAAGGATTTATAAGCCATAAAAAACAATGTATTTTGGACGATCATAGCCATCCACAACTTCTTTTCTCTTGTAGCCGTTAACAACGTTTCTCCTTTCGTCAAGACTATCATCCCACAAGCTCGTTAGGAAGTTGTCCCCCTCCCACCTCGAGTTCCTTCGATATGCCCTATGAGCGTTAAATTCTCCAAGTCATGTTTCTAAGAAATGTCAACTGTCTCTTTAACATTCTTTGTATAATTATCCTTTTTGTTTCCATTTGTCTTAAGATTTCTTCGTTGCTTACACGCTCAGTCCATGTAATTCTCAGCAGCCTTCTGTAGAACCAGATTTCTGTTGCCTTCATTTTTCTCTCAATCCGTATGATATGTGTCCAGCATTCACTGCCATACATGAGGATTGATATTAAATAAGAGTTGTAGGTTCTATTAAATTGCACATTGACTTATTTGACGTTGCTCACGATAAAGCATCATCGGATGATCGCCATCGTAACAATCATATCGATAGAAATGACAATCAATGTGACTTTCTTTTTGCTTTTCTTTTAATGTGTTTTAGGATTTGCCAGCTGTCTCTGCTTCTTCCACTCTGATCGCGAGTGAACCAGCGACTGGATGTAGCTAAGAATGGAATGAAGTCAGCTGAGCGTGGCTAATGCTATCAAATCTAATCGATCAGGGCAAAACTCTTGGAAAATAGCAAGGAAAAGGAAAAGAGTATCCTTTGAAAATTGAGCCAAGATTTTCAGCTGACCAACTTTGAAGTTATTTGTAAATAATCGCCGTCTAAGTAATATTTAAATTTTTTCTTTCTTTCTCCCTTTACTCATTCTTTCTTTCTTTCTTTCTTTCTTTCTTTCTTTCTTTCTTTCTTTCCTGATTCTTTCTTTATTCCTTTATTTATTTCTCTATCCATTCTTTCTTTTTTCTCTTTCTTTCTTTCTTTCTTTCTTTCTTTCTTTCTTTCTTTCTTTCTTTCTTTCGTCAGTTTCACTATCTCTCCTCACTCTTTCTGTCTTTCTTTCTTCATTCTTTCTTTATTCATTTCTTCCCCATTCTTTCTTGTTCTTTCCTTTGTTCTTTTCATCCACATTCTTTCTTTCTTTTTTCTTTTCTCATTCTTTCTTTCTTCATGTGTCTTTTCCTTTTTTCTTTCTTTCTATCTTTCTTCCTATCTTTCTTTTTACTTTCTTTCTTTCTTTTTTTCTTTTCTCTATCGTTCTCTCTTTATTTCTTTGCTCATTGTTTTACTCTTTCCTTATTCTTTTTTCTTTCTTAATTTCCTCATTCTTTCTTTCTTTCTTTCTTTCTTCACCTTCACTATCTCTCCTCATTCTTTCTATCTTCCTTTCTTCATTCTTTCTTTATTTATTCCTTTCTTTCTTTTTCCCTCATTCTTTTCTTTCTTTCCTTATTCTGTCTTTCTTTCCAGATATTTTCTTTCTTTCTTTCTTTCTTTCTTTCTTTCTTTATTCTGTCTTTCTTTCCAGATATTTTCTTTCTTTCTTTCTTTCTTTCTTTCTTTCTTTCTTTCTTTCTTTCTTTCTTTCTTTCTTTATTCTGTCTTTCTTTCCAGATATTTTCTTTCTTTCTTTCTCATTCTTTTCTTTCTTTTCTCATTCTTTTCTTTCTTTCCAAATATTTTATTTGTTCTTTCTTTCTCCTCTATTATAGTAATCCTCTTCTAATAAACTTGTTCATTTACTTTGCTTTTTCAGTCGTTCTTTTCGGCTTCATATTTATTTGTTTCATTTCGTTTCTTTTTAATATCAATGATTCAAGCGTTGATTTTTTTTTTCTTTTTCTTTCATCCCTCCATTTTTCTCTATTTTTATTTTCTTCATTATTCACTTACAAAGTTAACCTTCATTCCTTGTTTTAAAAGACTTATTCGATAATTTCTTTCTTTATTCTTCTCCCTTATCTTATTTTCTTTATTTCGATTTCTTTTATAGTTATTCTTTTTTTTTCTTCACTAACATTACTGCATTAACCCTAACCTCTTTTCTCTCTCTCTGTCTGTCTGTCTGTCTCTCTCTCTCTCTCTCATATATATATATATATATATATATATATATATATATATATATATATATATATTGTGGGCTGAATATCGTTATAGTCGCCTGAAGATTACCAGACTGTGGAACTTGGGTAGCTCGAGCTGCCCTTCGTTGAAATGTTGAAAACGTTTTTTCGCTCTGTCTAGATAACATAGACGTTGATCACTTTAAAGTACGACGTCGGTAGATGTTTGCCTTTTGGTCTTCTTTCCATGTTCGGGATTTTTTCTTAAGTTTTTAAGTCTTTTGGCAAGTTTTCTGTTGGTCACACCAACATTCTTGGGTTTATATATATATATATATAAATAGATAGATAGATAGATAGATAGATAGATAGATAGATAGATAGATTATTATAAAGGGGACGCCCAAGATGCGAGCTACGAATTGGAGATGTCAAAATCAAGCAAGTACAGGAGTTCAGATATCTGGGAAGTGTTTAAAAAAAGGGGGGAGAAATATGATATCGAAATACGAAGGTGCGATTTGATACCAAAGGATGCAATGTTAAAAGTTAAACAGAGAAACGGGAAGATTACATTTGAAACAAAGAATACTGCTCAATTGTTATGCAATATCGATGCTTCTTTATGGCTATAACTGCTGGAAAATCTCCTTACAGATGAAAAGAAAACCGGAGACAGCAGATATATTTTTAATATTTTCATTTAAGAATTATTATTCTGTCCCCAATTGAAAGATAATGACAGAAGATTGTAAGCAACAATACATGAGGTGTTTGGAAAATGTATGTCATTGAATTGTTATTTGTAATTTGATTAAAATGGACGTTTAAAATTATTCAACCCCATTCTTACAGAACGAAAATGAACAATACAAGGAAGGTAACTGAGTTTTCTCCCTTTTCTGGGCGTTTTCTTCTTTACATATTTCCTTTAGAATGAATGTAAGCAAGATTTGTCTGGTAGCATGGTATCTTTCACTTTAGGACTGGAGTTAAATAAACAGTATCATTTCAAATCTTCACCATTTCTCGTCACGGGTAAATTAGTCGTCTTGATTTAGATTAAAGTATTTAGTGTGGGTCTCAGTTTAAAGATTGTAACTGTCTGGAATAATGGGAAAGATTACAAAGCCATTTCCAAGCAGTTTTGATTCTTAGAACTATTGACATATATAAATGTTATAGGACAAAAATCACGTCTAAATTAGTTAAACATCTCACCTAGCAGGGTTTTCTTTCAGACAAACAATATGTCATTTGCTTCTCTTCGTCAACGCCGATATTTCGACGTTGATTGCTGAAAGAGCCTATCAAACATTAGGTAACAACGGCAAGACTCGGGCTGTTGCTTTGAAGGCGTTTCACAGGGTTTGGCATGCTGGTCTCTTTCACAGGGTGAAGGGTTATCGTATTTCTGTCATATTTTTTATTTGATTCAATCTTTCTTATCAAGTCGCTTAATGAAAACTGTCTTGAAAGGTCACTCGTCTAGTTTGTTTTTTTTTAACTCAACCCTCTGAGCTCTCCATCCCTGAACAATTTTAACCCTTCTACCCGAGCTCCTGGGTCAAAATTCGCAAATAATTGGTATGTAATATTTCACGGTACATATAAAAATAGTTACAAGTGTTTACCCACCGTTCAACCGTTGGATGGGCATTAAGTCATTTTTCTCGACCACCGGTAAAGCGGTGGTCAGGGCTCAAACGGTTTAACCAAAATTTAAGTATAATTGTAGAATCTTTATTTTATGGGGATGTTTTAACATATTTTTTAATGTAATCAATGCCTTCCCGGTCAAAGTGACCGATGAAAATACTGAAATTTCAAGTAAGGAATATACAATCATGAAAAAGGACTTAAATTTTAACAAAGCAGTCCTTGCTCTTGCATACCACCGGAACTTTCTGTTTAGTTTTGTGCCGTCACTGGGTCCCACACTACTACATAAAATAATATCAACAAAAAGGACGATTTCTTTTTCGTGTTTATTTTCTTAGGAGAGTGTGGTGACGCATTTGGATTCTAAGAGGAAGCGAAAAGAATGACACCACGGAAATTCAAATCGTATGTTCTCAATGTCCCTCCCTGGGTGGGCTTAGTCGGTCTCTCAACCTGGGTATGGGAGGCATATCGACGCTTCAGAATTCTTGCGGCCTTTTGTTGCGCCATTTTGTCGTATATCTAAAACCTAGACAAAGGCGATCTATCACTGTCTGGATACCACACCCACGAGCCACTGGTCAATCGCTGACCATTCTGGCCCTGGCCTTCGCATTCTGTAACATTTCACAATTTTGACTTTGAAAATGCTATTTTAACTTTAAAAAAATATTAATATAATTTACCCAGACTGAAAAACGCCTTAAAAACGACATGATCTGGGAATGCGCTACAATTAATATACAACTAGACTCTTTCGTTTTAGCGTTCTTAATAAATTAGGAATAAATAATATTGTCCCATTACGTTGAAACACCGGTTCCCGTACTATTATCGAAGTTAAGCAACCTCGAAACTGGTCAGTACCGACATGGGTGACCGCTTGGGAATACAAGGTGCTGTAAGCTTGGGTGTGGAAGTGGTGTAAAGGATAATAATTCGTTTTTTTTTTTTTTTATAGAAGAGTCGAGTTGCAATTCAAGTTAGGTTCGTTATATTCACTTGCGCGAAGATACCCCTGGGAAAGGCATGAATCCACCTCTTCTCCCTCAAGTTATGGATTAATTAGTAAGACCTGTAGCAAGAAATCATTATTATCTAAAAAGAAAAGACTACGAGTGTTCACTGTACTAACATTTGAAGTAATAGAAATGCCTGATTAAAAATAAATCCACTATTTCCTATTAGTGGCAATGGTGTCTTCATGTGGAAGTTATTTCTAAGATGAATATGTGGGACGTATTTCTGCCACACCCTATATATATATATGTGTGTGTGTGTGTGTGTGTGTGTGTGTGTGTGTGTGTGTGTGTGTGTGTGTGTGAATGAAACGAAAAAAAGGACAAATGATCACGACACCCTATACATATGCACATTCGCGCAGACGGGCGAACGCACATCCGCAGAGACGGACGCATGGCCGCACGCGAGCAAACGCACACACAAACACAAAAAAAGCAGAAAAACTTATACTAATGATAAGTGTATAAAAAAGAAGACATTGTAAAATATAAGCAGTAAACTGCTGATATCCGCTACGAAACTCTGATATCGGGATGCTGAAGCGAACATTAATCAGCTAAGTGACAAAATTTTACTCATATTAATTCTATTAATGCTCTATCTTTGATATCGAGCAGTTTATTGCAAAGAATGCTTTTCTCTCAGTATCCCACTGTTAGCAATTTTGACGTCATACTATCTTTGACATCGCTATATATATATATATATATATATATAAATATATATATATATATATATATGTGTGTGTGTGTGTGTGTGTGTGTGTGTGTGTGTGTCTATAAATTATCTGTATTTTAAAATCCATAAAAATGAATGCATTGTTGGGAAACATATCTAAACAAATTTGATTGAAACACATCAAAACCTTTCAACATGGACTCCATCAATTGCATGCCACAGATCTCGACAATTCTCAGTTTCAAACCATGCGCGTTGGAGTATTTCCTCATCAGTGGTGGCTTGGCGTGTATTCTTTTCTTGAGATCCCTACGGTCTTGATTTTTGTATGACAGACTCCGCCTTTAATATAGCCCAGTAAGATTAGGAGTTACATCTGGGTGGCCAATGAATTTGGACTGCCTCTTCCTATCCACTTGTTTTCATTAAGAAACTCACAATCAACCAACCTCAATGAAGGGTTGCGCCATCCTGCTGTAAATTAACTGTTGATTCCAAGTGGTGCAACTGAGTTACAACAAATTCTTGTAATTGATCAAAGAAATTCTAATGGATACAATAGTGAAACTGTACAGATAATCTATGGATATCAAAGGCCCAATCAAGAGCTCTTCACAGGAGCCCGATAGAGCGGCTTTTAAGCTAGTATATAATAAATGCCAATGTTAGTGTGTCACACTTAAAGCGGCACAACTCTCATTAGCTCTTCTTCTTCTTCTTCTTCTTCTTCTTCTTCTTCTTCTTCTTCTTCTTCTTCTTCTTCTTCTATATAATAAATCCTAATGTCACTGTGTCACAATTTTTTTAATTAAAGGGTCACAACTCTCTAACTTCCAATAGTTCATGTTACAGAAATTTTGGATTCCCAAAATAATAGTAGTATACGATGATTCGGTGATTTTTACATGATTTTTTGCGACGAATCTTTTTGTACGATAACAATTTTATAACTTGGAAATAAATTCGGGAATAATTGAAATTAATTGCGAAATCCAGCGAAAGTCACCCATGAAATAAAAATAATTGTTTGTGCGGAAAACAAAGACCTACGCACATCAAGCTGTCTTTAAATTAAGTGGCAACAGAAGAATTATCGTTGAACTTTTAAAGGTAAAGCTTAAATATTAATACAATACTTAAATGCAGCGATCAATTTTGAGTTCTTCTGTAGTTTAATGTTGCCTATTGCATTCGGCAGAAGTATGCCTTGCAAAATGAAATCTCCACCAACAAAATACCAGATTGCAATAAAAAAAATCCAGGACTGCAGCGAGAAAAATAAAGTCCCGTGCAAATGAAAATCCAGATCAAACGTTAATCAGGAAAGCTTCCAATGCTGAGAATATGCAAAGACTTTGGAGACTTTCAAACTCCTGAACAAGCCAAAGGCCCTATCAAGAACCCTCCGCAGAAGCTAGCGTAAATGCCTCTTTATATAGAATAAAAAAGAACGAATCATTAAACAAAAAGAAGCGTATTACTAGATTGGCACTTAGGTCTCATTATTTTACTGCAAATTCTATTATCATATTTTTTTAATTTACACTATTTATTTTCCAAGTATTGTCTCCATCTTTACTGTTGTTATCATAACGTTTCAGCCGTCGTTCCCCCGGACTTCATCAGGTATGTAACGATCTAGGTATTATTTTTTTCTATTGCACATCTCGCCAGTGGAACTCTCATCTAGCTTTCCTCTCAATCGTCATCTTCTGTCCCCTTGAATCTGTTTTTATATTTACTCTCCTTCCTCCTTAGTTTTCTCAGTATCCTTCACCCCATTATGCGAATCCCCCCTCATTCTTTTAACGTTATCTGGCCGAGAACGGATTACGGCAGAGCGGTAAGTGCTTTTTTCTCCCTCATTTCAACTGCAGTAGCTTTACATGCTAAGCAAATACGGGCTCTTTTTTGGCGGGGACAAGGCAAGTCGCAACCAGTTGTGCTCGTCCCAGGTTCTGTCTCATGTCCGCCACACTTTCATCCTCAGTAACCCCTTGCGTTTTAGTGCTTTTATTACTTTGATTGGGGTGAAATTATTAAAAAAAAACATAAATGTTTGCTTTTAAAACTCTTAAGTTTTCTTCTATTTTCTCTTCCTTTTCTTCTTTTCTCCTTTACTTTCGTATTTTGCATTGGCGACTTTTGACCGAATTACACTATAGAATTGCTTTGCGCATGTTATGCCGGCAACAGTATCCTTGACTACTACTATCACTGCATCATCGTCCGTCTTCTTAGGCTTCCCTTTAATCAGCCTTAATGTCAGCCCCCACACAGAAGCGTTAATATAATAAACTAAAACGCTATTGCCTCCATTCGTTCAATTAACACAGCCATCATTTCTAAATCTTTCATCAATTCCATCTCAGAGGCTGCCGTCATATCTGCCTTGCGAAGAGCATCAAAAGTTCCGCCATTATAATCACAGCAATAACCATAGTTATTCATTAACACCATTTGATGAAACAATAGATTTGATTATTGATAATTCCTGTTAAAATGCTAAAGCATTGTGCATATATGAATGCTTGAAAGGTTTGAAATCCCCTCATTTTATGCTTTAGATCGTCTCGACAGTTTCGTGAAGATATGAAAAATGCAATTATTTGAATGTTTTACATCAATGTGAGAACCATCATTGAAGTATGCTTTTTTTTCGTTCTTTTTTTCGATGCAAAAATGTACACACACGCACACACACATACACGCACACCTATCTACCTACCTACTCGACTTCAGTCAAGATCGTAAAGTGCATAATTTTATTTTATAATACCCATTGTTCCACTAGTGGAACATTTTACGACATAATCGTTTTTATACAAGACGAACATTTATTTAGATTATTTTATCGATAATATATACAGAAAAGAATAACATAGAATATATATTAATAAAAATTGTATTAAAATATAATTAATGGTCATCTGGTATAAAAATTTTCTTAAAATAGGTTCCATTAATGGAACAATAGACACGCCATATATTTCCATGGCTCTATAATATGTAAATTAAATAATATGTAATTATATAATATATAATATGTAATTATATAATATGTAATTATATAAAATATAATATGTAATTATTGTAAATATGTAATTATATAATGTGTAATTATATAATATGTAATTATATAATATGTAATTATATATGTAATTATATATTATATAATTATATAATATGTGATTATATAATACGTAATTATATAATATGAAATTATATAATGTATAATTATATATGTAATTATATAATATGTAATTATATAATATGTAATATGAAATTATATAATATGGAATTATGTAATACGCAATTGTATAATACGTAACTATATAATATGTAATTATTTAATACGTAATTATATAAAATATAATATGTAAATATTGTAAATATGTAATTATATAATATGTAATTATATAATATATAATATGTAATTATATAATATGTAATTATATATGTAATTATATAATATGTAATTATATATGTAATTATATAATATGTAATTATGTAATATATAATATGTGATTATATAATACGTAATTATATAATATGTAATTATATAATATGTAATTGTATAAAATATAGTATGTAATTATCGTAAATATGTAATTATATATGTAATTATATAATATGCAATTATATAATACGTAATTTTATATGTTATGGTCCGGTTCCTTGAACCAATAAAGAAGAACTCGAACACGTATATGGAATAACACAGATATATTACAATCAGGAATATATACAGAGAAGTAGAAAGTGTTAGTACGAACAATCAGGTTCAGTAGTAATTGTCTTAACGCGAATCTGTTTCGGACTGCCTCTGACTCGACTGACTGACTCGCTCACTCTGACCGTCTGACAGACTTCTGACGGACCTCACTCCAGACTTCAGACTGGATTCTAGATTTCAGACGGAACTCCTTGCTTCCTCTTGAGGCGCAGTATTTATTACGTATGGAATAGTCGATAATGTTATTATGGGTAAGGTCCCATAACAATATAATATGCAATTATATATGGAATTGTATAATATGTAATTATATAATATAATATATAATCTTTGTAAATATGTAATTATATATTATATTAGATAATACTATATATTATATTATATATTATATTATATAATAATATTATATATAATATAATATAATATATAATATAATATATAATATAACATATAATATAATATAATATAT